CCCAGCCTAGGGAAAAGAGGGACAAGAGGAGGGCTGGCTCTTCCAGAGGTTTTGCAGGAAAAACAGGACACTGTGAAGCAAAACACTTGCAGTTTGCATAGCTGGCATTATTCTGTAGTTTTGGCTAGAAGCTCCTGCAATACTCTAGAGACAGGAAAGCTGCGACGTTGAATTCTTCCACCCCCATTAACATGAGTGGGTTTTCTGTTTGTTTGTTTTCAATCAGTACTACRATAAGAAAAGGAGATTATTTCCGCAATCTTTCCTTCTTAAGGAAGGGAAAGCTAAACACACACTAAGGAAAACCAGCAACAACAAAAACGCACCCTCCTACTCACAGTTTATTTAGAACCTACTGCTGGCTTCACAGCAAAGGGCTGGGCAGGTGACCAAGTTCTGTGACGATGAAAACCAATCTATGTGGTGCTCTGAGGACAGYCACCCTGAGCACCTCCTGAGAGGAACAGACAAGGTATAAAATGATTGTTCCCAGAATTTAATACTGGGATTTCAGAAGCTGTCCTGAAAATGGAGCRAAACACATAAACCAAATGCAGCAGACTGTTACTGGGAATGCCTCGGGGCAGCTGGCAAGTTCGTCTGCATTTGACTGACAAGCGAAAAGCTTGTTCTTACTGCGCTGGTCTGCCTGGGAACAAACAAAAACAGATCAATGAGCAGTGACATCAGCTTCACTKTCAGCAGCTTCCTTCCTGTAGCTGTTTTAAAAGATGAGATTGATATTTAGCCACATTAACAGACATATTTCACATTGTAACAAACTTCCAATATTAAGGATGCCCAAAGGAAAAGTGAAACAAAAGATAAAACAAAGAAAACACCCCACACTGCTTTAGGTAGCACTGCAGTGAGTGTGTAGTTTTGAAATATATTGTACAGTGAAGTGACAGAAGACAGCTACTATCCCTAGGTTTATAAATGCTCCAAGCACTTAGTACTATACCTCATATGAAAATAAAAGATTTTTAATCAAATATTCTTGCTTTCCATGTCTTCAGCCTCCAGTAAATTCAAAATTATCTACCTGCCACTTTACTTAGCAACAGCAACAAGCCTGCTATGATATCAGAGACCATCCTAGGAAAAACAGGAGAATAACTGAAAACTGAGATTGCTGAGCAACACAACAGTACCATATGACCGAAAAAGTGCATTTTCCTAATTAAAAACCCACAAAAGTCTCCAGGAAAATTGAATAATAATGCATATGAGGCAGCATATTTCCTTCTGTAGTTTTTCCTGAAGTTACTCTAAGACCAAGTATGGTACAAAAGCTGCCCTCTGCTTTAATTATTTTCATGTTTGCATAAAAGAATAAATATAGACAGGCCACAGAAACCAACAACACCATCTCTTTCTGGAAGAGAATCCATTACGCACCCAAAACAATAATTAATAGTTCAATGAATTAGTTAATAAAATTAATAGTTATTTCATAAAGAGATTACAGGCAACAGCCACATGCCTTGGAAGCTCAAGTTTAACACTTGCAGAGTTTATGCACAGTTTATCCTCACACATCTTTAGAGTCTTTGAGCACAGAAGCCAACCCTGCAGGGGGGCCTGACAACAGCCCAGCTTCTGGATACTGCAATCCCATCCTTTTAGCAACACCCAGTTATAGACTACTCAATGCTTTCAGCTTAAGGTACTAACTGGCACCAAGGAGGTGCCAGCACATACTAAACTAACATACAATGGCATGCATCTTAATGTTACTCTGTAGTTGCTGTACACACTGCTCAGCCTTAATGAGGAAGCTTAATTAAAACCTTTAGTGATCACAGCCACATTGAGGTCCTGCTGAGGGACAGCACTCGCTCCACTCGCTGTCCAACCTGGCCGTGTTCACACACAAGTGCAAGATGTTTTGGAGCAAGCCCCTGTTTATCAGCACATGGGTTCCTAGACCCTAACATACAGAAAGCCACTAACAGCTGAATTCATATAATATATACATAACATATAATAAAAATATATATACTTTGCACTGAAATAGAGATTTGAGAAAAGTGGATGGAGATAAAGACTGAGAGACTACCAGCAGAGTTTTGTTTAAGTAATATAAACTATTTCATTCATCTCTAGCAGCTGTTAGAAACCAGAGTCCGTAGCAGGCTGGATTTTAAATGAAAAACCTTTTTTTTTGTTGTTGTTGTTGGGGCTGAAGGGGCAGATCTTTGCCAGTGGAACAGCTTGTATCTCAAGCTCGCATGATACTGAGGAACAACAAAATCCAGAYACAGAGTTAATTTAAACAAAGTAACCGACTATTCTGATACTCTGTATTAGTCACCTTCACTGGTGTCCTGCTGGGTATTAGGCACAAATACTTCYGAGTTACTTAAAACTGTGTAGCAAACAACACGTGAGGAAAAAGACAGCAGTGAAAGCTCCCGAGTTCCGCCTCGTTACAACATCTCAAACAAYGCAGTATTTTTCAGCAAACCAGTATTGCTCAAAGTAAGGAGTCCCAAAGGCTCTGCCATTAGATCARTGAAGATTGAGTCTATTAGTTTTCTTCAGAAAAAAGCCCGACATGAAATGTGCTCTGGAAGAAAGGAAAAGTGGATGAAAAACTATTTGGAACTGACTCAGAACAGTGGCTCCATCCCATTCCCTGACCCACTCAATGAACTTCTAAACCAACCCTTGCAACTTGTTTCTTTTATTTGTGGTCTCTTCTTTTGCACTTATTGTTTCTTCTTTAAGTTAGAGGGGAGAAAAATCAATACATAAATAAAGAGYGAGAGCGTGCGCGTGCATGCAGAGCTTCCTTAAGGTCTCTTGATAAAAAGCTACAGGTGAACATCCATACCCCAGTTATTCACTTACATGTCTCCCCACTGCTCTATATTTTTAAGACTTAGAACACAAATAGAACAACCTTAAGAAAAGAAAACTCGCTAGCTTTGCCTTTTGGCAATTCAAGAGTTGTGTGATRTGTTTGTACATCGAGATTTTGTTTTTGTTTTCCACCCTGAGCTTTTTAACACTATATTCAGAAGAATGTGGTCTGTTTTTCAGCACAACATCCACACAAAAGTTAGAGATACATTTGAAATAACTACCAAGAGTTGACAAAGCAGCAGCTCATTGTATTATAAGACAGGAGCATACTGAAAAGAAGCGATGAAATCCGATGGGAATAATGGGTATGACAACAGCAGTTACAATTCCCTACCTGTGTATTGAGACTTTCTGGCACATATTGTAGCTATAATGGAGCTATGTGTAATGACAGGTGGAAGAATCTGATACAGTTAAAAGTCAAGCTTTTTTATTTACTTAAAAGTAGCAATTCACAGTTTTCAGATCTGTGCTAGAATTCAGTTTAGATAATGAGAAGTCATATTACTCAGCAATTTCCATGCACAAAAGATTACACTAGCATTTTCTGATATTCACATGACATCTTTACATTTGTAACTACCCCTCTTGAATCATACCAACTCCCACATTAAACAGCTTTCTGGATTGCATTGAGACCCACCTTGGAGAGAATTTTTACATAACAGATTGCAATTAGATTTAAGTTGATGTTTGAATCCTACAATTCTGTTTTTAGAGGAGATCTAAATAAGGGCTTGCCGCATGAGTCCGTTCAATAATAGAACTACTAAGCTGACACCTGCAAGGAAACTGCCTTTCAGTACCTTCAGAAGCAACTCAAAGAAAAAAAAAAAAAAAA